AAAAAAAAAAAAAAAAAAAGGAGGCGTGACTTGATTGACGGGTTTGACTCCAGCCCTAGCCAGGAGAGTGGTTCGCCTAAGCCCCCTCCGACGGACCACAGAGAAGCTGAGAACTGACTCAGTGGCAGTGAGTTTGGTTTCTCCTGCTGCCAAAGGACCCCTGCCTCTGTGTTCCCCCTTCCCCCTTCAACTTGATCGAGGAAGGCCAAAGAGCTAGCCTGCTGTAAATCACAATACTAGAAAAATAGCATAATTTAATATATAGTTTGCTAAGAATCCAAGACGTACCAGCCCCATCTCTTGCAGTGAAAATACCCCCAATCAGTAGGGGTGTTGTAACTCAGGAAGGCAGTAAACAAGACCATGAAGGAGCCATGCAGGAAGCATCCCCATCCCGAGGCTTCAAAGCTGGTGGGCTGGGAAAGCCAGACAAGGAAGCATCTGCAATCTGGATAAGGGAGGGGCACGAGGCTTCAGGTCGTGGTGGTCTAATGGCCCCTGGAGAAATGTGGGGAGAAATCATTTCCTAACTACCATGGCAAAACCCGCCTCCTTAGAGTATCAAAATATTGCTAATCTCTTCCTGTGATCATTCATTGGGGCGGGGGGAGAGGGGGGAAGTGGGACAGGGGGAGACGACGGACCTGTCAACGTAATTTAAGGCATATAATTTGCTTTACTGGACTTTGGAAGCAGTTTGGAGGTAGCAGATTCCACATTTCCCTTCGGTCTCACATTTCAGAATAAACGTCTCACTGCTATCTAGTCCATGTGGGCTCATAGTGACCCTACAGGACAAGCCAGAACTGCCCCTGTGGCTTTCTGAGGCCAACTCTCTACAGGAGTAGAAAACCTGGCCTTTCTCTCTCAGTCCAGCTGGTGGATTCAAAGTGCTGACCTTGCGTTCACACCCCAAGTCATAACCATGATGCTGTTAGGGCTCCTGCAACAACGTTTAAGAGCTTCTCAGATCCACTTGGTCTGTGTTTGGGGGAAAGGTCAGGCCTCCCTAGACCTTACCGCCCAGCAACATTCATCCTCCAGACTCTTAGCAGGAGGCGGGTGGAGGTTTCAACCCTACAGTCGCTAAGGGCAGACCTCCCACCATTGGCTGGCTTTCTGGCAGGTCTTCTGTTATTGGCTGGGCCTCTGTAGGGCACGCCTCTTCTCGTCACGCCAGACTTCATGCTGTGTGCTGTGCCTCAGCTCACATCCAGGAGTCTAGCCCGTCAAGGTCAATCCCTGTGAATACCATTGTGAGCCCCAGTGATGCTCTCTTGTCTTTCTCCACCCAGCCTTCACCATTCCTGATCTCTTCCACTGATGAAGAAAGGAGTCTTATCTTCCTTTGTGCTGGAGAGTTCTGTATAGGAAACGAGTCTCCACCCTTTTTGGTTAGAATTTCTGCCAGATTCACCCATCACCACCTCTTTTCCCTGTCAGCCCCTGACTAGCTAACTTTGGGAAGCTGTTGCTAAAGGGAACATGCATTAACCTCTCTTTGTGCTAGAAATTCCTTCCACGGCCCCCCTTTCCCCTTGCCCTAATCTTGTCATAATCCCTTTGCCCTAATATTGTCCACTTAGCAGTATTATGGGTAAGTAAAAAGTAACTTCAATCATCACTGCCCACTTTCAAACCCAACTTGATTTCATCCTGCACTTGGGGTACAGACTCCTACAAGACCCTACTGGTCTTTACTTGTCTCCGGCTCATCTCCTTCTTGGTCCCACATGTATCCCCTGAAGCTGAACACCGATGACCAGCTAACACTATTTCCCAAGCTCAGATCCTGTTTCTCCTCCTCGTGGAAAACTTCATCTACCTCCGGCCTCGGTGTCTCTTGCTAATGCCGGCATCTTCCATTTGAACACAAGTACAAAAGTCCCTTCCCTGGTTTAATTTTTTTTTTGTTTACCCCCCTTTCTGGGGTAGCTGATCCTTGTCAAACCCACTTTGGGCCACACAGTTTAGGTTATAAACTTGTTTGATTTTTCTCGAGACTTTTAAACCAGTTTGGATGTAACAAACCCCACTGTTGCCTTCTATTTCGGGCTTGCAAACTAGAACTTCTCAATTCAACATTGTCTGGATCTTGGGCTGAAACAGTGACAGGTAATCCTGGACTCATGGCTGCCAACACCTGGCTACACTTTTCTTCTTCTTCTGCAGAATATCACCACACCTTTTTTCTGAGGTGTTTGGGTTGATTCAAACCACCAAACTAGGATCGCCATTGTCCTCGTCAATTCCAACTTATACCAAACATAAGGACAGAGTAGAACTACTGCCACCTTTGGGTTCCAGTCGGAGCCCTAGTGGTGTAGTGGTTCCACTGGCCAGCAGTTCAAACCCACCAGCCGGTCTGGGAGAGAAAGCCAGGGCTTTCTACTGGATGGCAGTAAGTTTTGAGACATCTTATGGGATCAGAAAGCCTTATCTTTTTCCTGTGTCCCAAGGGAAAATCATCAAAAGATTCCAGTGGAGGGAAGAAAACAAAATGCTATTCGGCACGTGCCTCAAAGAGAAGACAGAGATGGGAAACCCCGAGGCCCCATCAAGGTTGGCTGACCAAATCCACAGAGCCAGGCATGACTTCTTTCATACAGAGTTGGCAGTGCTTTGGTCTTACAACACAGATGAAATAAACAGTAACCTTTGTCAAATGCTTCATGATAAACACTGTCAGAGGGGTAGTTTGTTATCCATCAGGTCAGACTTGGGGAGGATGAGGGAGATGGCTCTTTCCTATTTGCATATCTAGTCTTGGGGAAGGGGGTGGGGTGGGGATGGGGGGTGTATACCTCCTTGTCTGCCCTTATCTTTTGGGATGCTTCTCAATCCCCTGTCTTTCCCCTAGTAGCCTGCTTTCTACTCAGGCCACGTTAGGGTCTCATGAACCCAAAGGGGCAGGTCTACCCAGTCCCGTAGGGAGGCCATGAGTTGGCATCCACTAGGTGGCAGTGAGCTTGGGTTGGGCCTTCTTGCTCTAATCACACACTCTGAAAGAGAGGCTGTTTCCCAGAACCCCAGGGACGTCTCCGAGCCCTGTCCATGGTATGTGGTGCTTGCTCTCGGGGTGGTCAGGAGAGTCATCATTTTTATTCCTGAAGGGCTCTAAGTCCCCTCACTTCCCTGGGCGATGCCGACCGATGCTTTCTCCTCCGATGGCTGGAGGATTCGTCCGCAGCGGAGCAAGGAAAGTGTACTGGGTTCCAGATCGCCCGGCTCCGGCTCCCACCTCCACGCAGCGGTATCTTAATCACTTCTTCCTGGGGCTCTGCCCGGTAGAGACCCCGCCGACCTGTCCGAAAGTGCCGATCATCCGTGGTGGATCAGAGGCAGGCCAGCACGCCGGCTGATCTCGACCCACGTGCTCCCAATCTCAACCGCCAGGCGCCGCCCTCTTGCCAGGCGTTACGTGGACTACATTTCCCAGAGTGCTCAGCGGCTGGGCCTTGGCTCGACGGGGACCTCAGGCGGTGCGCCGTTTCGTCGCCTGCTCAGGGTCGCGTAGGCTGGCGCGAGGACAGGGCTAGGGACCCGGAATGAGTTTCCTTATAGTTCCGCTGGGTCGTGCCGGGCTGTACTAGGTCGGCCTGGGCCAAGGCAGGCGCGGGGGACGCGGGGGTGGGGGCCTGAGTCGGCGGTGCCGGAGACAGGCGCTCGGGGCAGCCCGCGCCTCGCCAAGGTCCCCGCCCCGTCCCGGCTGGACCGGCTTGCCTGTCAGTCACTGGGGCGGAGGCAGCGGCGGTAGCGGGGCCGGAGCTGGGCGGTGTGAGCAGAGCGTGGGCCAGGCCGAGCGGAGGGAGGCTGCCACAGACCCTCAACTCCCAGGACTCTTCGTCCCAAGCTCTGGAGGCTGCACCCCCGCGCTTCCTTGGACGACTAAAGGGTCTCTCCCCCGTGACCCCCACCCCCACCCCCATGACCTCCTCATAGGACCCAAGAGCACCCCCGGACGAGGGTGTCGTAGGTACAGGTCATCGGCTCCGTGATCCCTCACGGTCTAGGGGCTCGGTTTCCCTCACAGGCCCGCCTCCCTCGTGACCCGTCCCTACGGACATCTACCATTAGGACCCCTGCTCACTCGCTGGTCCCCGACGGTCGCCTCCTTCTCGAAGTACTCCCAGAGGGTCTCCTACAAGCAGACCTTTGGATCTCTGGCAAGCCCCACCCCCAACCGAGGTGGGGAGACCGCGGCAGCCATGCCCGCCTTGGGGCCCCCGTCACCTCGTCACTCCTTGGGCACCCAAGCTGGGGTCTAGCAGGGGGCCAGCAGCCAAGAGGCTGGGGGAGGAGAAAGGTCGGGGTCGACCTCCCTACCAGGGAGGGAGCAAAGATGGAGCGGCGGGAGGAGCAGCAGCCAGGGGCTGGAGCAGCCTCGGCCTTGGACTTCACCGTGGAGAACGTGGAGAAGGTATGAGGGCCCTGGGGTGGGCACTCCAGTGACGGAGCAAAAGTTCCGGGGACCGACACCAATGCCAGAACCTAGGCCTGGGCTGAATGCCCGCTGGGCTGGCGCCTCCAGAGCACCTGGCATTTGCTGTCTAACTGGGCAGGCCAGTTGTGCAGTGGCCAAATGGGCTATTTTTATCTTTCTGTAGACAGGGTCCCCTGTGGACAGGTACTCTAGGGTCTCGGGATGGTCCCTCCAGGGCTAGACTGGCTAGCCCTCCAGGCCAACTGGCCGCACTCCAGGTCCGTCGGCACTGACGGCTTGAGCAGTGCAGTAGGCAACCAGGGAGCCAGCAGGCCTGCAGCTCCATCCCTGGGAACCACACTGACTCCAGGTTGCTCTGGGCCCGGACTTTGTTGTGCTTGGGGCTCTGAAAAGCATCAGAAATGAAAACAACCTGGGGGGCTTTTGCTTTTTTACGTAGAAAAGCGTGCTTCACTTCTTAGATGGAGCCCAGAACAGTGCTGGGTTGGTGCGAGTGGGGCCATCCCTTTATTTTGTGCTGTGTTCAAGGGCCCGGGCCTGCTGGTGGCCTTTAGGACTGTGCCCTACCCATCTTCCCACATTGCCCTTTGCCATGGCTCGCCCTTCCTCAAGCAGTCCACTTTGTGTGTGTGTGGGTGGGTGTGGGTGGGTGGGCGGGGGCTGCTTCTCTGGTTCTTTCCTGGGTTCTGTCCACGGGGTGGGGAATGTAGAAAAGTGTGCCCCTGGGATGAAGTGGGAGATACCTGGACCACCTTGCTGCGATGCAGAGGCTGGCTGTAAATGCCCAGGCCTTACGCTGGAGCTGGCTGGCCATGGCACACTGAGAATGCACCCTTTCTGCTTCTTGCTTTCTGCCTGCCTCAGTCCACGGGCGGGCCAATCAGGACTGTGACCATGACAGGCCTGCAAGGGTACGGATGAGGAAGGGCTAAGCCTACTTGGGAGCCTGCTTGGGGTCAGGTTCTGGCCTCGCTCTCCCACCCCCTAAGGCTAGCAGCGTTGGCATGGCGGCGCAGTGTTCCATGTGCTGCCAGGGAGATAAGCCACTGTTTTCTTCCTGCGTGAAGTCCCCATGGAACTGGGGCCCTGGGTATTCTGCTGGCTCAGAGCTCAGGTGAGACACTTTCCCAGGGCTGCAGCTCTGGCCAAGGCGTCATTGGACCAACTTGTGGGACCCTGTGAGGATCCTGCTCAGATCTCAACGTGACCTTGGAGCCAGCATCTGGAGTGACGGGGTGGGCATGGGGGATGCTCCTGGGAGCTGGGAGAGCAGTTGTGCCTTCTGAGGGGCTCAGACCCTCTGGCTATTCTGCAGCCTTGGTGTCTTCCCCACAGAGCCATCCCTTTGCCCAGGCTGTGTCCTTTGCCACCGTGTCTCCCCTTTGGGGAATCGCAGCCTATCCCTGCTGCTGCTTCTTTTTTTTTGCTTTCCGTTTCATTGTTCCCTTTGTGAGCCCATAAATTTTGTTTCAAGAAGAGCATTTGGTACAGCATGGGTGAGGTTCAGGCTCCCAAGAAGGCCCAGGAAGTACTGCAGAGCCCTGAGCTTGTCCTTCTGCCCAGCCTCCCAGTCAGGGAGAGGGCAGTCTTTGCAAGACCAAATCACGCCTTCTTGTCTGGGCTCTGGCAGCATCCAGAGTGGCCAGCACCTGCTCAGTCTGTGCTGTCCTGCAGGCGCTGCACCAGCTCTACTACGACCCCAACATCGAGAACAAGAACCTGGCTCAGAAGTGGTTGATGCAGGCCCAGGTCTCCCCACAGGCCTGGCACTTCAGTTGGCAGCTCCTGCAGCCGGACAAGGTGCCTGAGATTCAGTACTTTGGGGCCAGTGCCCTGCACATCAAGATCTCTCGCTACTGGAGTGACATCCCTTCTGACCAGTACGAGAGTCTGAAGGCACAGCTTTTCACCCAGATCACCCGATTCGCCAGTGGCTCCAAGATTGTGCTGACTCGGCTCTGCGTGGCCCTGGCCTCTCTGGCTCTCAGCATGATGCCGGACACGTGGCCGTGTGCGGTGGCAGATATGGTACGGCTCTTCCAGGCTGAGGACTCCCCAGTGGATGGCCAGGGCCGTTGCCTGGCCCTGCTCGAGCTGCTGACAGTGCTGCCCGAGGAGTTCCAGACCAGCCGCCTGCCCCAGTACCGCAAAGGGCTGGTGCGGGCCAGCCTGGCTGTGGAGTGCGGGGCTGTCTTTCCGCTGCTGGAGCAGCTGCTGCAGCAGCCCAGCTCGCCCGGCTGCGTGCGTCAGAAGGTGCTCAAGTGCTTCTCCAGCTGGGTGCAGCTGGAGGTGCCGCTGCAGGACTGTGAGGCGCTCATGCAGGCTGCCTTCGCTGCCCTGCAGGACTCAGAGCTCTTTGACAGCAGTGTGGAGGCCATTGTCAATGCCATCTCACAGCCTGATGCCCAGAGGTGAGCCCTTCCCCACCTGCCCCAAGAAGGATGGCCTGCTCAGCCAGCATCGTAGCTGTCCATCCTGGTGCCTAATTGGTGCTAATTGAGTGCCACTCGCATGCCTGGTGCCGTGCTGGCGATAGATACAGCAAGGAGCCAAACACGTGTCCACATGGGCCCATCCCTCACAGTTCAGAGAGGGAGTCACTTGGTGAATGGGTTAGTTAAAATATCAGACCCTTCTCGCTCTCAACCAACCAGGCACCACGCCATATTGTAAAGCTATTTTTTATCATCGCCACTGCCCCCTGCCCCCCCAGTCCAAGCAGCCATCTCCCCCCACCAGATTTCTGCAGAGCCTTCTACTTTGTCCCCTGCATGCTACTCACCCTTGGCCCTTGCATTGTGTCCACAGTGGCCGGAGTCGGCTTTGGAAAGTGAGACACTAACCCCTCCCTTTCTGCTCAGCACCCTTCCCTGGCTGTTTGCTGCTTGTGGGATAAAGTTCAGAACCCTTCCTGGGACCGGCAAGGGTGCTGTACTACCTGGCAGCTCGTCACACGCTCACGTGGTCCTTTTGGTTCCCCAAGTGTCCCCTGCTCCTTCCAGTTTCCGAGCCAGCCTGGGTGCTTGGCACGTTACCTCCGCCTGGAGTGGCCCTCTGTCCCCCTTTCCCCCCACCTCACCCTTCAGTGTTCAGCAGACCTGCCACGTCTTTAGGGGAACAGGCTAAAGATTTCCAAGACTAAGTGTGTTGTTGTTGTGAGGGGCACTGCACAGTTCTACGCCGTCCTCAACAACCATTCCTGAACTGTGCTCACGGTGTCAGCCCAGGACTAAGCGCAGCTTTCTCTAGGATATTGTCCCGGAGCTCCCGCTATCTTCCCTTCTCATCAGCACAGGAGACGTCATTGTGAAGTAACCTGCGTGGTCCTGCTCCTCAGCTCGGTGACGACAAGGGCTTTATCTTGTCACCCCTGGCCTGCCACATGAAAGCTCTCCGTGTTTGTGAGCGGGTGAAAAGTAGGCGTTGCCTATGTGACAACTGGGTGGGGGGCCGAGGGAGTGTCCTGGGTTTCGGGGAGCACAGCAGGTGGACAGGTATGTGGTGGCCTCGAGATGGTACACCGAAGGACCCTTAAGTTATGTGCATGGACAGCAAGGGTGTACGCAGCACCTGCTGTGTGGCAGGCTATGTGTGAACCGGGGAAAGCCTATAGGTGAATGGTTCTGACTTGGGGGGGATCGGGGGCTCAGAGGCTGGAAGCCAATGTGCTGGGTTCCCTGGCAGGGGGAGCAGAGGGCTGTAAGAACCCCACGGAGACTGAGCCCATCCCATCAGGGGCTGTAAAAGGCTTCCCAGAGAAGGTGACGAGTGAGCTACACTTGGGCAGCTGTGCAAGAATTAGTCAGATGGAGGTGATGGGTATGGGGAGGACAGGAAAGACCTTGAATCAGTGGGTGGCAGAATGCTGAGGCTGGGGTTTGTGAATTGCCCCTCCTTTGGGTGCGAGGTGACAGCCAGGTGTAGTGATCAGAGCCATAGGAACTCGGGGGCCCGAATCACCTGGGTCCTGGTAGGCCAGGCCAAAGATTTTGGTCTTCGTGCTGAGGAAGAGATGGAGAAGTGGAAGGATTGTGAGCAGAGAAAATAGCACGGTGCTGGTTTGGGCATAGGTTCGGGAAGAGGCTTGGAAAGGCAGGCCTGATGCTGATACTTCCGAGAAAAGGCTCCGGGAGCCCCCAGCAGAGCGGGGAGGGTTAGAAGGGAAAGACCATTTCGGGGAGCAGTTAGAGGCTCAAGCTTTGGCACTAGTCAGGTTTGAGTGTGAGTCCCTGGGGGTCTGCTTACTAGCTCTGCAGCCTTGGGCTAGCCACACCTGAGACTGGGTCTCCTCGCATGAGCCTCAGCTTGATGTGTCTGTCTCAGTGCACAGCCAGGCCGGGCTGGGGTACTCCACAGGGAGACTTGGGTGGGAAGGTGAAATAGGGACTGTGCACGAAGACTTCCCCATAGTTCCTGGCACTGTGGAAGAGCTCCATCAGTGCCACCTGCTACTAGGTGGCATCATCGTAGCCGTAACGATCAGTAGGGGCCTCTTCCCCTGGTACCCCAGCTTTAGGTGGACACCAACCCCCAAAGCATGGTCTCTGTGCCATCCTGAAGTTCAAGTGCTGGCTGGGCTCAGGTTGGTGGCTGGGGCTCCAGGGGTGAGTGGTTGATGTGGGGTGCCCTTGGATAGATCCAGGTGTACCCACTCACCCAGTCTCTCCAGGGCTTTGGCAGGTAATTGATGCCCCTTCTCCCCTGAACGAATGAGCGAGCAAGGAGCCAGTGAGGGAACCCACAGCCTCCTGGGCGCCCATTGGCTGCAGCCCCTTGGTTGCTTAGCAACTCTCCCCATTTTCTCAGCTCTGCTCCTGGAGCTCTAATTGCAGGTCTGAGCTGAGCTTGGTGCGAGGCAGGCAGGCGTCTCCGCAGCCCTGCCCCTGGCTGCTTGAGTGACCAACTGAAGCCAGGCCTCTTGAACCCGCCCCAGCCCTAGCTCCCAAAGACTGCCTGCTCTCTCTGCCTCCAGCCTCCCGGGGCCTGCCGCTTGTCCACGCACGCACGGGCCCTGGGCCCAGGTGTGGGAAGTGCATGCAGGAGCTTCTTCCTCAGCAGGCTCCCTCTGCCAGGGTCACAGATCTCGCTCTTGCTCTGACCAGTCGAATTCCCTTGCTTTGGCTTCCTGAAGCGGGTGACTCCTGGGTCATGCCGGCACTGCCTCCCGCCCCCAGGTGTCCTGATACCCACCCTTCCCACAGCCGGCCTGGCGGTCAGGACTGAGGCCGCTCTTTCTCCTCCCCTGCTGCCACTTGCCCGGCACGCCTTCAATTGCTTTGCCCACCTCCACCCCCCCACCCCCTGGCCAACCCATCCCGAAATAATGTTTTTAATCCTGGATAAAACTCTTTAATGAGAACTGGAGGAGAGAAAATGAATGTGTCAGGCTGCTGGAGAGCTGGGGCAGACCATGGGCTACAGTCTGCATAGATCCATTGGGGATTGGGTGCCGAGGACAAACAAAGCCCGAAGGGTAGTGGCAGCCTGGTGTCTGCCTGCAGTTTACAGTGTGACCTTGAGTAACTCTGAGCCCGAAGGAGCTGTTGTCCTTGATTTACCCTCATAGGAGGCTCTGATGAGCTCCATTAAGAAGCTCAACTGAGTACCTGCTGCTGTCTGTGAACTGTCGTAGGAGTGAGGGAACCTCTTGGAACACAGGGAAGATCGGGGGCTAGGGCATGACTTCCTGCATCCCCCGTAGTTGCTATGGCGTACATGGCCTTGGCCCTGCCCCTACCCTTTGTGCCATAGTGTGGCCTGAAGGTGCCCATTGTCTGGTGGGGCCGTCTGTGTCAGGGTCAGGGGACTGAAGCTATCCCAGCTGTCTCTTTGGAGCTGATGCCAGTGGATGCCTTATCCCTTCAGACTGGGGGGTGTGGAGAAGGGGGGACTTCCCTGGACTGGCTGCCTGTTCCTGTAATTCTCCTCCGCCCCCTGACATTATGAGGTTATTGCCTAGCAGCCTGCTTGGGGGAGGTCCAGCTGGAATTGCCTCTGGACCCTGAGGCCTCCATAGATTGCTGTGGTGACAGTACCAATTGGCAGGGGGAGGTATGAGGCCGCCGATCCAAGCTGAGAGTGGCTCTTCCTCGCAGGGCCACTCTCCCCAGAGCAGACTGCTGGAGCTTTCTCTCAGCCTCCCCTCTGGGCTCTGCATGCCTTGCTTCATTAGGGATCACTCGTTGATCTGCAGGGCTCTGACCTAGGGGCTCTTCCCTTGTCCCGTTCAATTCTGTCTGGGCAGTTCTTGTCCACTCAGCTTCCATGACCAACTGCTCTCGGATGACTCCAGCCTCCCTGGCGGACTCCAGGTCTTTGTGCCCACCTCCTTCAGGACACTTGTTCTGGGCTGTCCACCCAGCATCTTGGAGACCGCTGTCTAACACTGAACTCGCCAACCTTCCTCCTTCCTGTTCACTGGGTCGCTGTCCCTCTAGCTTTTGGTCAGTATCTCAGTGACAAGCTGGGGCTCTTCTGGACTCTGCCCGTCCTCCGGCGGCCCAGGCAGTCCTCAAGTCCTGCTCATTTTGCCTGCGGGCTCGCTCTCGGGTCATGAGCGGCACCTTTCCCTGCGGCAGCCAGGGGTGGGGCGTGGCATGGGTGGTGAGGACTGAGGCTCCTGGCACTGCGGTTGCCCTCTAACTCTTCTTTAACTGCTCTCAGCCAGAGCTCTGAGCTGGGCTTCCCTCTGCAGCCTCCGTCCCCCCTGACGCTGGCCTTCCCTTCAAGAGTTGTTCTGGAGGCCCCGACCTACGGTTCATCCCACCAGGGGCAGGCCCTGACCTCCTTTTCCCTTAGGGTTTGATGTGTGGAGCACGGCTTTGATGGGAGGCAGGGGTGGGGCAGGCTGCTCTGAAGGGCCTCTGTCCGTCCTGCCTCCAGGTACGTGAACACACTCCTGAAACTCATCCCGCTGGTGCTGGGCCTGCAGGAACAACTGCGACAGGCAGTGCAAAATGGGGACATGGAGACCTCCCATGGCATCTGTCGCATTGCAGTGGCCCTGGGCGAGAACCACTCCCGGTGAGGAGTGGGGGCAGCTGTGGGGTGGCGGGTGGTAGCAGGATTCTCTAAGCGGCGGGGGTGTGGGGGTGTGGGGTCCGTGCCATGTACTTGTGGTGGACTGAGTTTCTCGCGCTCTTCCCCTGTCCAGGGCCTTGCTGGACCAGGTGGAGCACTGGCAGAGCTTCCTGGCGCTGGTCAACATGATCATGTTCTGCACGGGCATCCCTGGCCACTACCCCGTCAACGAGACCACCAGCTCCCTCACGCTCACTTTCTGGTACACGCTGCAGGTGCGCGTGGGAGATCACGGGCCGGGGCTGCAGTGGGAGGAGGCGCACTGTGGGCTTCCCTGGTGGCTGCCCGATGGATGGCTGACTCTCTTCCCCGGCTCAGGACGACATCCTGTCCTTCGAGGCCGAGAAGCAGGCCGTCTACCAGCAGGTGTACCGGCCGGTCTACTTCCAACTGGTGGATGTGCTTCTGCACAAAGCCCAGTTCCCTTCCGACGAGGAGTACGGATTCTGGTCCTCCGACGAGAAGGAGCAGTTCCGAATTTACAGGTGAGGGTAGCAGGCTGGCTCCAGCTCTGAACCAGGGGCAGGGGACCTTTTTTCTGCCAACCGCCATTTGGGTATTGATAGCCTCATTCGAGGGCCATGCAGGTAACACACTTGAGGACCTCACTCCTAATGTGACCCTGGAGCAGCTGCTCTTGGGAGAGGCTTGCGACGTTAGCTGGGATGGATGACTCCGTGGGCCTGCGGTGACCCTCAGGCCGGACCTTCCCCGCCCCTGCTCCAAGCAGCGCCTTGAACAATGGAGACAGTGAGGGGAAGGGCTGGGCGTCCTGTGTCCTGGGGCCCCTCTCTATTCTGGAGGCACCTTTGGGCGATGGTGAGGAGCCTGGGGTGGGCTCGTGGGTAAGGCCTTCGTCTGCTTCTCAGGGTAGACATCTCGGACACACTCATGTACGTCTATGAGATGCTGGGGTCTGAGCTGCTCAGCAACCTCTATGACAAGCTTGGCCGTCTGCTCACCAGCTCGGAGGAGCCCTACTCTTGGCAGGTACTGCCCCAGCCCGATGCCCTCAGCCCTCCCCGGCCCGTCCCTACGCCTCCTCAGCCGCGCGGGCGTCTCCTTCCCAGCACACAGAGGCCCTGCTCTACGGCTTCCAGTCCATCGCGGAGACCATCGATGTCAATTACTCCGACGTCGTGCCCGGGCTCATTGGGCTCATTCCACGGATCAGTATCAGCAACGTGCAGCTGGCCGATACGGTGATGTTCACCATCGGTGAGACCCGCCACACACACCCAGAGCCACAGGCCCCCATCTCCAACCTGGCCAGCCCGCTGGGTCCCACGGCCATGGGAGAGACGTCTCAGCCGCGTAGGAAGGGGCTTCAAGAAGATGGTGGGAAATAGGATGAAAAGAGAATGGACCTTTCCCAGGGGCCCTTTGAAGCCCCCCACCTCGTCAGGGCTGTAGTCAGCTAGCTGGGGTCCCACCTGAGGCCCCGGTGGTGTGGTAGTGACCCATTGAGCTGTGAACCGCAAGGTCAGATTTTCGAAACCGCCAGCCACTCGCTCGGAGGGAGAATGAGTTACTGTAAAGAGCTGCAGGTTGGGAAGCCCACAGGAGCAGTCTGCCGTGTTCTGTAGGGTCACTGTTATTCGTAGCCCACTCAGCGGCAGCCAGCTTGGCTTTGGAGGGTCCTCCCACAGTGTCCCGAGCTGCACTTCAACGGGGCCAGGTCAGTGCTGGTGGGATGGATGGAAGTGCTGAGCCCACGCCGAGTGAACTCTTCTTGCTTCTCAGCTGCGAGGCTCGTGTTTGAATTGGCACATGCGTGTTTGCCCCTCCAGCCTTGGGGTGTCTGCTCTGTGCTGGTGCTGTGTCCAGCTCGGCAGGGCCGTAGTGCGAAGCCAGCCTGGCTCATCTGAGAACCCTCCCCCCGCCCCTTCTTCCCCCAGGAGCTCTGTCGGAGTGGCTGGCTGACCACCCTGTCATGATCAACAGCGTCCTGCCCCTCGTGCTGCATGCCCTCGGCAATCCGGAGCTCTCCGTCTCCTCCGTGTCCACCCTCAAGAAGATCTGCCGTGAGTGCAAGTACGACCTGCCGCCCTACGCCGCCAACATCGTGGCCGTCTCCCAGGTGTGCAGGCTGGGCCTGGGGCGCGGGGCTCCGGGCGCCCTCCGCACTGACTGACACCACGTTCGTTCTCTCTTCACCCCCAGGACGTGCTGATGAAACAGATCCATAAGGTGCGTCTCCAAAGGTTCTGGGCCTCTCCTTCATCCAGAAACGACGTCTTCCCCCTGTGCCCTGTTCCTGGGAACCTGTGCCCTGTAGCCTGAGGACTGAGCCTTCCTGTTCTGCCCCACAGACGAGCCAGTGCATGTGGCTGATGCAGGCGCTGGGCTTCCTGCTGTCAGCCCTGCAGGTGGAGGAGATCCTCAAAAACCTGCACTCGCTCATCTCGCCCTACATCCAGCAGCTGGAGAAGCTGGCGGAGGAGATAGTGAGTGAGCTCTGGGGCCAAAGAGCCTCCCCTTGTGTGGGCAATGGAGCTGGCTGTCAGGCCTGGGGCTAGGGTGCCAGGCTGGGGCGGGGCAACCTCGAGCTTCACCCACTTCTCCCCGTAGCCCAACCCCTCCAACAAGCTGGCCATCGTCCACATCCTGGGGCTTCTCTCCAACCTCTTCACCACGCTGGATGTCAGTCACCATGAGGATGAGCACGAAGGCCCGGAGCTCCGGAGGCTGCCAGTGCCACAGGGACCCAACCCTGTGGGTGATGTTGTCACTGCCATTGTCCCCAACCCTGTGGGACTGTCACTGCCACCTCCTAGCTCTGGGGGGGTTTGTGTCACTGTTATCCACTGACCCAGTGGATGACCCTTGTCGTTGCCTCTGACTCTGTACTATTGATGTCACTGGTTTGCTCAGCCTTACGTGTGGGGACAGTGATGTCTTTGTCCCCAGCCTAGCGGGGGCTGACGTCATTGTGGTTCCTCAGCCCTGAGGGGTGCTGACACTCTCCTTCAACTCAGAGTAGTGTTATCACAGGCTCCTCCTCAGTCCCCATGCTCTGGGGTATTCGCGGTCAGCGTCCGCTGCGTGCCTGCTCAGCATGTCATAGGTTCTGCCTTTGAATAGCTCCCGGCCTAGAGGTTATCCATGCACAGGATGATGACTACTCTGATAAGCTTGGACGCCGGCGTGGGGAGGTCCCGCTGGAAACTGTGAACAGGGGCCCTGTGTCTTGCTGGCCTCAGAACGGTTGTAGCCGGCAGCTATGGTCTGGAGTGGAGGAACCAGGCACACTGTGCACTGCTCTGCACTAACGGGAGGGAGGGGCGCTTTGGTCATCGTTCCCGGTGCCTCTTCCACCAGTTCTCCAGGAGAACGGGCACCTCAGCCCAGTTTCAGTTGCTCTGTTGGCTGCAGACCGGGCCCGTCCTGCACTGCCCTTCCACAGAAGCCCTTCTGTAGTGGCGTCGCCCTGCCTTCCCGTACCTGCCAGGACCACTCAGCCGGCCCTCCATTACCTACAGCTCTCTGCACATCCCTTGGGAGCTCCCTACCGCAGCCTGTCGGGAGGCTCCATTGTTTTCAGCACTGGCAGCAGCTTCACTGCCTCCAGGACTAGCCCAGGGGCTTTTGGCACTAGCAAGGTTTTACTAAGGAGAAATGGATGAGAATTTTTTTTTTTTTAAGTTACACAGTTTAGATAATCTCGTGAGTACTCAATATCCCTGCCTTGCAGTTTGTGACTTCCTCTGAGATGATCACTAGAATTAAGGACGCCCTTCCCTCTCGTTGACACACTCCCACCCACCCCCACCCGGTCCCTGGCTGCTCTGTAGCCTTCTCAATGTGCAGTTGGGGTAATAAGCTAAGCTCCTGGCCTGCCCATGCCTGCCGTGCTCTCCCCAGCTGGATGACCATGGTGGTGGGGCCGCCTTTCCCCCGTGTCTTCAGGTGGTGGTGGTACTGCAGCAAGTCTTCCAGCTCATCCAGAAGGTGCTGAGCAAGTGGCTGAATGATGCTCAGGTGGTGGAGGTGAGCCCTGACCCTGGCTGGCTGACTCATGGTGATGCTGCTCAGGGAGGTGGGGCAAGAGCTGTCTGTCCCTCCGGAGCGTGTGGCGATCCAGAGCGAAGAGGGGAGAAACACGGGAACCCTGTAGCATGCCCTGAAATCCTAAGTGCTAGACCCAAGGACCGTGGTGTTGGGGCCGAGTGACAGCGGTCTCCAGGCCATCCTGGAGTCAGGGTGCTTCTGGTGCTGCTGCCACTCCCCGAGAGGCCATGGTGATGAAGTCAGCAGCAAGGGTCAGGGACGGAATTGTGCGCTGCACCCCCTGAGCAGAAGGCCTTTCCCCTGCCTCTCAGCGTGAGCATCAGACTTGCTCACCCGCCTTGGTCGTAGGGCCCAGGAAGGATGACAGGAAGGGCCCCGTGGTAGGCCTCCTCTGTGCAGGCCTTGGCCCTCTTGCCGGCACTGACCCCTGACCAGCCCTGTGCTGCCCTCAAGGCTGTGTGCGCCATCTTCGAGAAGTCGGTCAAGACGCTGCTGGATGACTTTGCCCCCATGGTGCCGCAGCTGTGTGAGATGCTGGGGCGGATGTACAGCACCGTCCCCCAGGCCTCGGCGCTGGACCTCACGCGACAGGTGGGTCTTCTGGCTGGGGCAGCAGGTGTCCTAGATTCCATCCTGCTCAGAGATCTGCCTGCTTCCCCGGGAGTGAGGCTGTGGGGCCGGGTGGCTGCCCGAGCTGGGACCCCTACCGACGTTCTCGGGATTCTGACCTGTCCGCTGGGGCCGGGCCTCTGCTGACCAGCATTCCCTGCTTTGTTGTAGCTGGTCCACATCTTTGCTCATGAGCCTGCCCACTTCCCCCCGATCGAGGTCCTCTTCCTGCTGGTCACCTCCGTCACCCTCACCCTCTTCCAGCAAGGTAGGTCCTGGCCAGAGTCTCGGCTGCTGTGACTGCCGCCACTGCCTCCGCTTCCCTGACCGGGAGCCACAGCTGCCCCTCGTCTCTGTCCCCTGAGCCGCACTTTGGACCTGGTGGGACACCTGTGGGACCAAGCACAATACAATTGCCACTTTCTAAAGAGTTGACACCGTAGCTGAAGTGAACAGGAGGGTGAATGATGTCTTCTGCCTGCCTGCTGCCGGGCTCGGGGCCGCCTGGGTACCGGGGAGCGGGGCGAGGGCAGAGGCACTGAGGGACTTGAGTGGGGGGTGACGGGGCTGCAGGCTGCTCCTCACTGGGATGTAATGAAGAGGGGAAGAAGGAGTGTGGGTCTTGAAGTCAGGTAGACCTAGATTCTAGTCACTCTCATCACCACCAACTAGTTGTGTGACCTTGCACAAAGCACTTGCCTTAGCTGAGCCTTTGTGTCCGTAACTGCGGGATGGACACGCACTACAGGTATTCACGTAGCATCTTTTGGGCACCTGGCTTGGGGTTTTCCATGCAAAATGCTCCCAAGTGCTGGGTCTTCCCTCTGTAGTGAGGCCTTTGCCTTTTTAGGCCCAAAGCCAAGTACCTTTGGCTATAGTCCTAGCCCGGCTTCACTGTGTGCGGCCTCTCTTCCCCTGGGGGAGTTGGGAGCAGGAGGCACTGAGCTGCCTTGCTGCCTACCCCAGGCTCCGAGTGTGCAGAAGAAGTGACACTGCTCACATGAGCCTTGTCTGGGTTTGTGCCCTGAGTTTGAGATTCACCAGGGGTCTCAAGTGGAGCCAAAGTCCCCTTTTCCTAATATCCTCTGGACTTGGCCTCTGCATCAGTGGGCCATGGACAGGACCAGGACTGGGGAGAGAGCTGGGCCAGAAACCTGGGTGGTTACTCTCAGTGCCCCCTCTCCCACCCCTTGTCCAGTCAGGGATACATCCGATTGATTCCGGCTCCTGATTGTCTCTCTTAATCTGCCTGGTTCTCTCCACTCTCCATGGTCACTGCTTCCGTGCAGGCCCCAACAAGCTGACTAAATGGTTTCCTTGACAGCTGCCCTTCTCTCCTGACCATTCTGCACATCAATCTGAGCATTCCCCCTCCCCGGCTGTCGTTGCACCCCATTGCCCTCTGGTTAGCATCCCACGCCCACCCATATGATGTGGCTCGTGCCTACCTCTCAACAACCTCCCTGCCATCACCCCGGCACATGGCCTTTTCCATTACGTGCTCCAGCGGAGCCCTGGGCCTTGCATGTGGCGCTGCTCTGGCTGCGATGCCCTGCTCCTCTATCAGGCGGGACCATGTGCTCCTCCCTGCTGAGACTGCCTTGTGCACACACTGCTAACGCGGCACCATTCACACACGTGTGTGTCTCTCGCCCAAGACTTCGCTCCTCGGGGGCAGGCCTGGCCTGCTCCTCTCCATCCTCCGTGCCCAGCGTGCAGCCAGCACATAGACACTCTTGAACAAAGGAGGGGGAAGGAGTCTGCCCTTGGACCCTTCCTCCTCACCGGCCGACGCACCTCTGAACGTTGGACCTCCTGAGCAGCAGTGGGACCCAGGCCTGGGACGCGTTAGCCTACACTGGCCAGAACTTAAGTAACTTATGTTCCGATGCGAAAGGGCTGGACCTCATGTGGGCTCCTCACAACAGCTTGGAGAGGGATAGTCTTCGCTCCCGCGGGGCAGCGGAGCACTGTGGCTCACACAAGATCACACAGCTACTTCGTGCGTGGTGCCCTAGGCAAGCACCCCGGAGCTCGTCCTCCCGAGAGAGGGGCAGTCCGAGCTCGAAGCGCACGCCTTGCTCTTTCCCAGGAGCCAGCGTCCTGGCGGTTGGGTTTGTTGCTTGTCTGGCTGCCCAGGATGGCCCCTTCCTCGTTCTGCTGGCCCCGTCTTGGCCATCCCTGCTTTGGGTCCTGCCCTCCCACTGGACCCTGAGTAACCAGTGGACTGGCGTCCCCCTTTCTTGGACAGCCTCTCCATGTCCATGGGATCTGGTTGCTAGCCCTAAGCTGGGCTCTCTGCTGGGTCCGGACCCATGTGGAGGGGACTCTCCTGGCTCAGTTTGTATGGCCAGCCCCACAGCACACTGTCTGACTCAGGGGAAGGAGTCCCCCACCTTCCTTAGCCAGCCCTAGGGCCCTGAGGCCATCCAAGGAAGGGTGCCCTGCTCAGGGCTTGCTGCCCTGGCCTTTCAAGAGGTAGGACCAACTGTTCCCCAGCCCCTCCTGCTCCTTGTAGGGGATGATGGGAGGGCTAAGCTAGGAAGCAGTGTAGGGGCCAGCCCGCCACAGGCCCCTTGTCCAGCGCTGTGGAGTCTTTCCTGGCCGAGCACGGAGGGAACACTGGGGTGGGGGGTGGCCCGAGGAGGAGTGGGAATAGGGGATGGCCCCTTGGGAGGGAGCTGGGGCAGGCCCGTCCTTCACTTTGCCGTCTCTTTCTGTTGGGCTTCTCCCAGTTCATGGTTTTTGTATGTTTTGTTTCTTTATCTTGCTTCCTGCTGCTCATGTGCCCCCACGCTGTCTCCCTGCAGGCTCTCAGTCCCACATAACTATATGAGGTTGAGTTGCTGTTTGTATAATTTTTTCTTAAGTTCCATCTTTATTATATTTTAGGGCCCAGGGATCATCCTGATATTGTTGATTCATTTATGCAACTCCTGGCACAGGTGTGTTTTAGTTTTATTCATTCACGTTCTGTTCTCTCTCTCTCTCTTTCTCTTATGTTGGAATTCAATTTTAAGCCTATTTTTAGCTTTCTGTTGACAAATTTTTTTTTTTCTGTTCAGTTGAATAGAGTTTCTTCATCTGTTTCCGTGGAAGTTGACCCAACACCCTCCTTTAGCGCCCCTTTGCCTCAACTAGCTCAGGCTTCTTCCAGGACAAGGGAGCGGCTGAGCCCCGGGGAGGGAGCTGGGCTGGCCCCGGGGAGGGAGGGTGACTGCCCAGCAGCTCCTGGGTGGCTGAGCACCCAAGAAGTTCAGGGCTAGGGCTGGAGTGGAAGGGCCTGGGCTTCATTGTCCCGTGCTCCTGCCGGGAACTGCCTGCCTCAGGGCCTGCCTGCTCCTGAGAAGTGGGCTGGGTCGAGCCCCCTGCCCCCTGCGGGGCGAAGATAAGTGTGCTGCCCTGGAGCTGGGGCTGTTGGAAAGGTGGGGTGGCTGTGGGGAGGCTGGGGCAGACTCCATCTGAGGCCGCGGTAGCATGCGTTTGTGCTTGGTGTGCGCTTCTTTGCTGTGTTCTGGGTCTGGCTTGGAACGGCAACAGAAACCACCTAGGTGCAGTGAATGCGTGCGCTTTGTGTGGTGCGAGGGCAAGCATGCACTTGAAGTGCTGTCGCGAATGGATTAGTGTGGGACACAGATGTGTGTTCTGTGTTGGATGTTGGTGGACTGGGGCATCAGTGAGTGTTGAGCTGTGGGAATGCGTATGTGTGGGGGAGGTGCGTGTACTGGGTCATGCGAATGTGCACTGTGGTTTGGGTGTGTGCGTGTATGTTTGGGGAGGTGCATATATTGGGCTAATGGAGTGTGCACTGTGGTTTGGGCTGTGTGTGTATGTTTGGGGAGGCACGCATCTTGGGCCGTGGGATTGTGTGCAGGGGCACTGTGTGTTGAGGGCTCCTGAGGGTTTGTGTATCTGTTTCTTTGCTTGGTCCTTCCACACATGCCTATCGAATGTGCCATCCGTGCCTGGTCCTCTGAGCTGCTGAGCGGAAGGAGGCACAGAGCTTGCTGTCTGGAATTTACCTTCTTGGGGGTGGGGAGTGGGAATGAGAGAAGTAGGGCGTGTGTCTTTGGGCCTGGGTGGAGCTTGGGAGGGAGTTGCGTGTGTTTGTGGATGGGTGTGTCAGGAGTGTCCCTGTGATGGAGTTGATTTGAGGATGTGGGTGTGTGGACGTGGTTTGGGTGTGTAGTGGGGTGTGTGACAGAGGTGTGTTTGAGGATGAGAGTAAGAGAGTTTAAAGTGATGGTCCATGTGGGGATGTGTTCATGTGAGTGGACAGGGATGCTCTGCAGTGGGGGTTATTGGGAAAGGGCGGTGTTCGGAGGCTGCCAGAGCTGTGCAGAGCATCTCCAGTCCTGACCTGGTACCACTTCGGGCGGTCTACCAGCTCCCTTTACTCCATCTGCCCACCCCACCCCACCCCCTCGTGGTAGTACTGGCTCTTGGGGTCAGTCTGGCTGTGAAGGAACTGGTCATAGGGTGTCCTGAGTAGAAGGGAGGGTTATGGTTCCAGGACTCCTACCCTGAGGTCCCTCTTCCCGAGGAGGAGGAGGAGCTTGAGGGTGCCTGAGGGATGCAGGTGGGACCACAGAGAGGGGAACTATTGGACTGGGGGTTCCATGTCCAGCTGCCATGTCTTCTGTCTGCTGCCCCCTTAACCAACCCAGGGGCCTCCACTGCCTTTGTGAATCAAGGGGAAGCCACTGCTGGCCATTTGGAGCCTGCTGGAGGGGTGGGAATGCTCTCTGCCGAGAACCTGACTTGGGGCCCTGCCCCCAGCTTTTCTCGCACACACCTGCGCATGCATGTACACACACGTGTGCAAAGCACCACTTGGGCTGCTGCTATCTTGACTCATTGGGCTCTGGGTGGTCTGGGCCCCCCCAGAGCAGGCTAGGTGGCTGGTTTGGGGCAGCCTCTGCCTGTGATGCACAGAGTTGGGGCTGGGGAGTGGGCAGGTGAGTGGGGGGATGGCCCTTGGAGCTGGCTGGGGCTGGGCTCACCAGCTCCACCTCCTGCAGGCTCTGAAGCGGAAGCCAGATTTATTCCTGTGTGAACGATTGGATGTCAAAGCTATATTCCAATGTGGTAAGTCGGGCAGGTGGACAGACAGGTGGGCTTGGGCCTCCCAACCCGCGGGATGCTCTGGCCCCATCTGATCTGCCCCTCTCTCCCACAGCTGTGCTGGCCCTCAAGTTCCCCGAGGCGCCCACTGTCAAGGCCTCCTGTGGTTTTTTTGTGAGTCCTTAGCTGGCCCCCGCCACTCCATGCCCAGCCCTGCCTAGCAGGACTCCAGAGGGTAGGGGCGTGGTGTGCAGGTCGTGCCCTTGGGGAACAGTGGGCAGGCGCTGAGGCTGATGGGCTCCCTTTCCTCTGCAGACTGAGCTGCTGCCTCGCTGTGGGGAGGTGGAGCCTGTGGGGAAGGTGGTGCAGGAGGACGGCCGGGTGCTGCTGGCAGCCGTGCTGGAGGTGAGAAGGGGCCGCCGTCCAGGGAAGTGCACGCCCTCGAGTCCCTTCCCTCCACCGGTGACCGCTGCTGTGCAGCCCTGAGAGCAACTAGTTCTCAAAGAGCGGCAGCCCATGTGTCCCGTCCAGTTTGCTTGGGAAACTGTCCAGGAGGGTGGGGGGAGCCAGGCACCCTGGCTGCAGGGGGAGAGTCCCTGTGGCACTGAGAGCTCCTCTCCTTCAGGCCATTGGGGGCCAGGCATCCCGCAGCCTCATGGACTGCTTTGCTGACATCCTGTTCGCCCTGAACAAACACTGCTTCAGCCTCCTGAGCATGTGGATTAAGGAGGCACTGCAGCCACCTGGTTTTCCCTCTGCCCGCCTCAGCCCGGAACAGAAAGACACCTTCAGCCAGCAGATCCTTCGGTGAGCACAGCTGGGGTGGGCCCAGGCTCAGGGAGAGCAGGCGATGCTGATGGTTGCTAACCTCTCCCTTCCTTCCTTCAGTGAACGAGTGAATAAGAGGCGGGTGAAGGAGATGGTAAAGGAGTTCACCCTGCTGTGCCGGGGACTGCACGGCACAGACTATACAGCTGACTACTGAGGGGCATGCCCGCCACCTGCCCCCCACCCCTCTTTCCCCATCTCGCTCCCCAAAGAATAAACCTGGATCTTCACTGCTGTCTCGGCTTTCTTTCTGCTGCTACCAGCCTCTGATGGCTGCGCTAAGGAGGCCTGGGGGTAGGATAGGAGGAGGCTTGGAGCTGGGCCTAGGTGGGGAGAGGGAGATTACTGTCTGACTCTTAGAGTGGCACCTTAGAGGCACCGCTGTCACCGAGCTGCTGTGTATACTGCTGCCATTGCCTGGGGGTTTGGCAGGGCTGCAGTAAGACCAGCCACATTCCCCCGCCTTCCACTAGGTCAAGTCCCACTGGGGGCAAGTTGAGATTCCAATGCTGTTTACTTTTAGCCCCGCCCCATCTTGTTCTGCACTGAGCAAGGCTGACCAAGCTCATAGCTACATTGCCGCTAAGCTGAGAGGATGGGGCCTGCATGGCAGAAGTTTCATTTCTTTGGGGAATCAGAGGATTTGTAGGGAGAGACAAAGATCCGTGACAACATCTGGCCTGAAAGGGGTAGAGCTGGGACCGGTGGAAAAGGGACGGGAGCAAGGGCTTCAAATGGTAGGACAGGCTTCACTTGCACATCGATAAGGAGAGTTCTAGAAAATAGAACTGAGTTAGGGGTGGGGGAGGCATCCTGGGAGGGAGAAGGCAGGAGCCCACTGTACCCACTGGCCCCCATCTCTATGCAGCGCAGAATGAGATAGTCTGGGTCAGGACCAGGGACAGCTCCAAACCACTTCTCCCCAGGGTTGTCTCCTTGGTGACTATTTCACCCCCTTTTCAGGCACCCCAGTCTTGAAGAACAAGGCTGGGCTCTCCCCACTTCACCTTTGAGTCTTGAGCCTTTGAAGATGTTGGAAAACAACTCCCACGTTCAACCCCACTCTTCCCAACCTTTGTCCAAGGTTCCTGCTCTCCGCTCTTCATCCTAATGTAACTTCTCATGCTGGTCAGCACTGGCCCCTTCCTGTCATTGGCCATCCCCTAGACCAGTGGTTCTCAACCTGTGGGTTGCGACCCCTTTGGGGGTTGAATGACCCTTTCAAGGGTCACCCGATTCATAACAGTAGCAAAATTACAGTTCTGAAGTAGCAATGAAAATAAACTTATGGTTGGGGGATCACCACATGAGGAACTATCAAAGGGTCATGGCATTAGGAAAGTTAACCACTGCCCTAGACCCACTCTGTCCCCCTTCTTCTACCCCACCTCGGTCTCATTCTCCCTCTATCCTTTATTTCTCATTTTCCCTGGAAAATACTGCACATACAGTTACTCCTTTGTTCCAACAGTATGGCTTCCTGATACCTCTTTCTTTCCCCTCCCCTGTTGAGTGTAGTACCATAGATATGCTTAGAATGGCGGGTCTATAGCCCAGCTTCAGAAGCCAGAGAGACCTGGGTTGATACGTCCCACTGCCTTGCTGGGTCTCCTTAGGCACTTCGTCACTTTGTAAATTAGGATAAACTTTAACACCAAAGACAAACCTCCAGAACGTGGAGCCTGATGAACAGTCTCGCAATGCTCACCATCTGCCTAAAAGCAAATTCTCATGAGTCCGTGTGACGCACAGAGGACTACGTCGCAAGTGTCATGTGCACGTTGTTTGATTCCTCACAATATTCCAGGAGGCACTGTCCTTACAAATGAGGACAGAGGCAGAGAGGTTAGGTTGACACTTTTAAGATGGTAACAAGCAGCTGAACCAATCAGTGTTCAAACAGGCAAGGGCACCGGACTTAAAAATGATGCGGCGCTACCTGCAGATATGAGTGTGCACGAAGTGTTAACACTGTCCCGCGGGTGGGAGCTGCTCAAATGGGGTGGGTTTTGTTTGTTTCACCCCAGGAAGCCGCGGGTGTCCCTGCAGACCGGAGGCCAGCCGAACCGGAAACTTCCGGAGCCTTGAGAAGCGCTCCCAAAGAACTGCGGTATCCACAAGGCCTCGCGTCTGCCTCTGACGCACTTCCGGCCGGCTCCGGACCCTGAGAGCTCATTGGGCCTATGCGGGAGGCTTGACGGCGAGGATTGGAGAGAGGGAACGGTGGTGGTTTACGATTGGGGAAACTGCTTTAAGCCCCGCCTCCGAAGACCGGAAGTGATCTCCCGGGTCTCCCCATGTGTAGTAGAGGGACGGTCGCTTGGATGGGTGTCTTACGACCCGTGTCTAGCCCTTTGGCGTCCCCAACAGTGAGATTCTGACCCAGGGAAGGCTGTTTTGAGGACGCGGTGCCTGAAACGGGGCGAGAGGATCCCCAGAACGTCTCGCCCGAAGCGGTCCCTCATGGAGTCGGCGTTCAGCAGCCCCGCAGAGGCGGCCCTGCAGCGGGAGGCAGGCGCCGCAGGGCTGCTCACGCCCGTCGCGGACTTGGACCGGGTGTATGAGCTGGCGCGCGTCGCGGGATTTGTCCGTGACTTAGGGTGTCAGCGGGTGAGGGCAGGCTTAGGAAGTGGTGGCGCTTCTCTCGGGCTGCTTCTCCCGGAGATAACGGGACCATGTCAGGCTGAGGGCTCCGGGGGGTGGGTACAGCTAGAGGTGGGATCTCGCCGAAAGTTTCCCCGGAAAGAAGGCCTTGGGGTGGTGGTGGCGGAGAGGCGCCATCCTGATGCCGCGGTTTGTGCTTACAGGTGGCCTTGCAGTTCCCTGATCAGCTCCTGGGAGACGCTGGGGCCGTGGCTGCCCGACTGGAGGAGATCACGGCGTCCAGGGTGTTCATTCTGGGAGACACGGCCTATGGCAGGTGTGACTCGCCCTTAAATGGGGTGTATCTGCCCCCAATGTTGACTTCACCTTCTGAAGTCTGCCTTCCAGCGCCCTTTTCCTCACGGACAACGTTTCCCGCGGGGGACAGCAACTCGCCCCCTAATAGGAACCTCTCTCCCTGCAGCTGCTGTCTGGATGTGCTGGGTGCTGAGCAAGCTGGCGCTCAGGCTCTGGTCCATTTTGGCCCCGCCTGCCTGAGTCCTCCAGCCCGCCCACTGCCTGTCACCTATATCCTGGGCCAACGATCTGTGGCCGTGGAGCTCTGTGCCAACGCCTTTGAATCCCTGAATCCAGACCCCACGGCACCGGTGGTGCTGCTGAGTGAGCCAGCCTGTGCCCATGCCCTAGGTGAGGGGTTACGCACGCAGAAGGGGTATGCCTGCTGCTTTGTTCCTTACTCCCTGCCCACCTCCAACCCTGTTTTAATGCACCCCCACAGGGCTCTTGGAATGGGATTGGCCCCAGCCTTTGCTTTCGGGTCACATTCAGCCCACACCCGCACCCAACAGTGCCTTTTCACTCCTCCTACCCCACCCCACCCCACCCCACCTCTGCAGAGGCCTTGGCGACTCTCCTGCGTCCACGGTACCAGGACCTGCTTGTCTCCAGCCCAGCTCTCCCCTTGCCATCAGGGGCTTTGAGTTTAGAGCCGGAGCCCCTGGAGCGTTTTGGACGCCGCTTCCCCTTGGCCCCAGGAAGGTGCCTGGAAGAGTACGGTGGCTTCTATGTGGGAGGCTCTGCAGCCAGCCCTGGCGCTGACCTTGACCCAGACCTGAGTCGGCTGCTCTTGGGCTGGGCACCGGAGCGGCCTTTCTATTCATGTTGTGCAGACACCGGGCAGTCTCAGGATGAGAGGGCCCGGGCTGGACGGCTAAGGGCCCGCAGACATTACCTGGTGGAGCGGGCCAGAGATGCCCGAGTGGTGGGGCTGCTGGTGGGCACCCTGGGTGTGGCCCGATATCGGGAAGCCCTGGCACATTTGCGGCACCTAACTCAGGCTGCTGGTAAGCGTAGCTACGTGTTAGCCGTGGGCCGGCCCACTCCCGCCAAGCTTGCCAACTTCCCCGAGGTGGATGTATTTGTGCTTTTGGCCTGTCCTCTGGGTGCCCTGGCCCCTCAGCCTTCTGGCAGTTTCTTCCGACCTGTGTTGGCACCATGTGAGCTGGAAGCTGCCTGCAACCCTGCCTGGCCACCTGCGGGCCTGGCCCCTTACCTCACACATTATGGGGACCTGCTGCCTGGTGAGTGTAGGGTACTGCCTGAACTGGGAGCATGGAAGGGGGCTGGGGGACCGATATGGAGCTTTTTTTGCACATTCCTCCCCTCTCCAGGCTCTCCTTTTCATGTACCCCTGCCATCACCTGACTCAGAGCTGTGGGAAACTCCCGATGTGTCCCTCATCACTGGGGAGCTGCGGCCTGCACCTGCCCAGACGCCATCTAATGCACCTGGGTGCGCAGCCCTGACCCCTCGGCCCCAGCTGGAGCTGGTTGAGAGTAGCCCTGCAGGTGAGCGTGCCAAATCTTCATATTTCCCCCCACCCCGCGCGCCTGCCCCAGATCCCGGCCACTCAGCGTGCTCCCCTCCCCTGCAGCTCTCTTCCTCAGTTCCCGCAGCTGGCAGGGGCTGGAGCCCCGCCTGGGCCAGACGCCCGTGACGGGTGCCGTGAGTGGGAGACGAGGAATTGCCATCGCCTATGAGGATGAGGCCAGCAGCTGATGTCCCACGGGGCCAGAGGCACAGTAGGACTGTGGAGTCAACTGCAGCGACGTTGGTGTCCCTTCACCGATCCCCACCTCTGTCAGGATCCTTGAAGGAGCCTGGGTGGAAGGAGAGAGATGGACCCCACTCAGTCCTGGCACTGGGACAAGACTCAGCACATGCTGGCTTCGTGACGGCCTAGGACTGGCTTGTGAGCAGGGGCTTAGGGCCACCCTTCAAGCCTGTCTGACCCCCTGGGAGTAGGCCAGCACCTCTGGTCATTTCCAATACCTGGGCTGCAGTTGAGGCTCTGCCCTTGTCAAAATGCAGGTACTAGGTGGTCTAAGCGCGGTTTCTCAACCTCGGCACCGCTGACATTTGGGGTCGGACAGTTCTTTGTTGAACGGGAGTTTCCTATGCAGTGTAGGATGTCTAGCATCATCCCTGGCCTCTAATAACTAGATGCCAGTGACCTTTGCCCTTGAATTGCAATAACCAAGAATGTCTCTAGACATTGACCAATGTCCCCTGTGGGGGCAAAAGTTCCCCTACCGGTCGAGAACCATAGGTGCAGGCTTGCGTTCTCCAACCTCGTAGCTACTAAGCATACATGGTTATTTAAACTCATTTTAAATTGGTTAAAGTGAAATGAAAGTGGTAATTCAGTTTGTCAGTCACACACCCAGTGCTAAACCAGCCATGTGCGGGGCCAGCTCAGCTATAGAACACTTACAGCACCACAGAGTGTTCTTGTGGATAGCACCAGGCTGCACTGACTCGATTTGTTTCTCAGGGCAGTCAAGAAACTTGAATAAACCAGACATTTTCCCCCCATTCTTTTTATTCATCACACACACTGTAGGTCCTGCATGGGTTCTTGGGGTAGAGAAGTGAATTGAGTCAGGACTGACTCCTGTTCTCTGTTTGCCTGAGGGGAGAGACCATTAAATAGGCAGTTACCACACGGGGAATTACCCCCGGGCAGCTGAAGCCCAGGGGAACTTTCTAAAAGAGGGTGGCCCTTAATCAGGATCTCTTGCAGGAAAGATGGTCAGCAGAAGCAGAGTGAAAAGGTCATTTGAGTTGAGGGTGCGCTGCTTACACACCCAGGCATGAACCAGAGTGGAGGGGACTACCAGCTGTCACCTTGCCAGACCCTGACGGTTGAGAGAGGGGAACTGAAAAGACAGCTGTTGAGGACACAGGGAACAAGGGAGGTGTGGCGTCTCCCCTCAGGCAGCACCCAGGCTGGTGTAGAGGCAGACCAGGGTAACTGGGACTGATAATTGCAGGTGGCCCCAATCTTGTACTTTGCGGATGTAAGGGAAATGGAGCCAAAAGATAGAAAGACGGAGTGGAAAGACAATGGAGTTTTTCCATGAACATTCTGAAGCTACCCTGTATATATTGAGCACTTGCTCTGTGCCAGTAACTGGAAATTCAGCAATGAGTTCAATGGAAATCCTTATGGTTTTTAATACTACCATGGAAGGAAGTAGATAAAATGCTACATACAAAGTGAGCCAAATGCAGAATTAAAACAAAAAACCCCACCTCACTACAATCGTGGATTCCAACTCAGCATGCCCCTAGAGCAGGGTAGAACAGCCCCTGTGGGTTTCCGAGACTAATTCTATAGAAGTAGAGCCTGATCTCCCCATGGAGCAGCTGGTGGTTTCAAACTGCTGACCTTGCAGTTAGCAGCTCATCCTACACCACCAGGGCTCTTAGCTGCCAATAAGTAAACAAGCCAAATGATAAGGACTGGAGAAATAAGGGGGCTTCAAAAAGCTGTGGGATAGATAACGGAGTCTCCATGAACTTCTGAAGCTCCTCCTCTAAAACCTAGGGAAGAGGATATGGAATGTGGGGGAGCAGAGCTTGTGCTACGAAGTAGAATGGTCAGGGAAGACCTTTTGAAGAAAGTAATATTTGAGCAAAGACGGAAAGAAAGTGAACCATCTGGCCAGCCAGGTCAAGGGATAGATAGCAAGGAGGGTGGAATTAGAATTGGGCGGAGGGGGGCATGCAATGGTGGTAGTGGGCGGGGTAGCCTCCCTGGAGTCATTGTAAGGACTTTGGCTTTGATTCTAAGTGAAAGGAGTCCTTGGGGCATTTCGTCCGGAGAGTGTCGGGACCTAGTAGTTATAAGCAAGTTCTATGACGACCCGCGGGGTAAAGAGCCCTGAGCAAGCGAGCAGGCTGACCATTTTGCCGCCTCTGGGTCAGGGAAGGCTTTGAGGGAAGAGTGATTCCCAGGACGAATCGGTTTGAGCCGGGCGATGGGGTGTGGCCGAAAAGTGCTTCCCCAGAGAAAGCAGCACAAGCCAACACCCTGGCACCGTCGAGCAAGTGGGTAGAACCTGATGCCTGGAAGACAGGAGGCCAAGGGCTCCGAGCAGCTCCTGCATAGAGCAGGATGGCGGGCTGAAGCGCCGGGGCTCGAGAGCGGGGGAGCAGCCAGAGGTCAAAGCGTGCGGTACCAAAGACGCCAGGTCCCCAGGAGGGTGACGACGGGGCTTCTTCCAGGGGGACGCCTACAACGACCACAAGCCTCTGCGCCCTGCACTTCCGGCGTGGCCGCGCAGCCCCCAGCGCGGGGTCACGTGGCGCCGGCGCCTCACGTGAGCGTGTCAGGTGATGCGTGGGGCGGGCGGGCAGACTGCGGGGCGGACGGGGGACGCAGGGACGCAAGTTTAGCTCTGGCTCCACCGCCCCGACCCCCGCCGTCATTGCCGCCATGACGGGACTCGCCCTTCTCTACTCCGGCGTCTTCGTGGCCTTCTGGGCCTCCATGATTGTCGTGGGTGAGGCCCTGCCCTGCGGGGGCGGCGGGTAGATCGCGGCCGTGCTGGCGTCTGGCGGGCAAGCGGGGTGCCGATTCTGCACCTGGGCCGCAGCGCGGGTTCCGTACCCCGGGCTTCGGGTCTGGCTTTACGCAGGACGGGGCCTCTGACCCCACGGAGATCGGCTCTCACGACGGGGGCGGGAGGGACGCGGCCGGAGCACCTGTCCCTTCTGTCATTAGCGCACGCTCATCCCCCCACCCCCGCCGCAGACGCCCTGCGCCTGCCCGATATTGGGCTACAAGCCTGCTTCTCCAGTTCCTCTTTTCCTGGTCGTTTGCTCCCCCGCCCCCAGCTTGTTGGGTAAACAGCGGTCGGGGCCGGGCCGGGTGGATCTGGTGGGGTCGGTTCGGGCCCTTGCTCCCTCCTCTCCCCTCCCC